GTTGAGGGGTTGTTTAGGGTTGGCTTAATAGGGTTTCGGAACCTTCTCAATACGATGGAGGGGTGGATGAAACTGGCTGGGCTTGAGCCAAGCAGGAGTTCAGGCTAATCGGTGTTGCATCCAACCCTGGGAACAGGAGAATGAGATTGGGATTGAAGGCTCAAAGCTTATAATACTGAGCAAGGCCAAACAACCTGCTGATGACAGGTTTGACGTAAGAACGCAGCCCCCCCTAAAAAGATTCAGGAAGTAGCACCCCCAATTGGTTACCCTTGCTTTCGGGCCCTCTAGCCTGACTGCCTGCAGCTACGCAACTGACTGATATCGGCCCAAGTCTCAATTCATCTGTCGTCCGCTCTCCTAGCCTGGTAGTAGCGCCCACACCGAAAGCTCGAGGAAGGAAGATCTTCAGTCGGTACATCATGCAATGATCTTCCTTTTCAGGGGATAGTATAGGCGCCGTTGCGATCTTGGCGCCATGTCGCGGGAAACCGAGGGAGACTCTACAGAGGCTGTGCCGAATTTTCTGGACAAGCTTGACGAGTCTCAAAGGAATGAAGCAGTTGGCCGACTGCTCAAGCTTGAGAACGAGGACACCTGGAACGAGCTTCTGGGTCCTTACAGTATTATAACCTTAATCATACGCAAGATTTTATTGGAATATAAAATGCATTCCCACAGTGGTAAGTCGAATGCAGCTTCTTCGAACCCAGGCTTCTCCACAGGTTTGCCTGCACACGTGGCGTCGCGCGGCAAGTGACTTTCAGATCTCTCACCGGAGAGGCTGTCGAGTTGAAACTCCCGCCGCAGCACACCCTCTTCCACGCCAAGCAGGCTCTATTGGACAATGTGTCCAAGAAGATGCCGGCTCTAGAGGTTGGCTACCGCCGGGATGCACGGTTCTTTGCTGGAAGCGAAGTCCTTGGCGAAAAGATGCTTGCGGCGATGCTGCCTGACGAGGTCTCTGTGGTGTTCGATCAAGTGAAGAAGAAGTTATTCGACGAGTTCTCCTCGGACGAAAGCATCGGCTCTTCGCTCGGTGGTGGCCTGTTCGGTTCGGACGATGACGATTGAAGGTTTCAGTGAAGTTTCGCACAGCTTGAGTTGTAAATTGCTGTGGTCTGATGCATTCTGATGCTGTGCATCGATGAGGCATTGACCCCACTGCCCTTGGTCTTGGCAGGCTCTGTAGCCTTGCCCCACAGTGGCATGCCTGTAGCTAAGCTTCGTTGCCAAGCAACCAAGCCAAGAGAAGCCAAAGCCAAAGTGACTTGGATGGCGCGAACAAAATGCGCCGAAACTTGGTAATTTAGAAGCCTGAACAATTTCTGAAAATATTCCTCAGGGTTTTAGGGATCCACATTATACTTATACTTTTAATTAATGTAACTGTAATAGACGCCACAAGCATTCTTCCGATTACTAGGACTTCTATGTTAGCCCCTCAGTTTCTTAAGCTTGATCAGCTCAGAACGTTCTTTAGCTTCACAGGAGTTTACGCCAACCGGTATCCTTTCCAGTCTCCACAACTTGCGAGCAATTCCCACACGTGGTTCCAGCATCTTCGCACTGATCTAATTATTAAGGCCTCTACATCAGGGTTTAGGGTCTAGGGACCTACATGTCGGCACTGGAGATGCTTGCTGCGCCAATCTAGGTACATGAAGGTCAGATAGCATGATGCATTGTTCCCACTCCCCAGAGCTCGGGAAGTACCGACAAAGGATGCTTCTTCAACAGAAGTTTGGACCTGTGGTCTAACTCTAACACGCACCCAGTTTTCGGGCTGTTTCCAGTAGCCGAAGACGGATGGTAGATATCCTTCGTTTTGTGGCTTTTCGGCCGTTTGGCGTTTGGGAAGAGGGGTTGACTGTGAGGCCTCCATGTGTTAGCTACCTTCTTGCAAGTTAGGATCGTCAAAGAAGGAGATGAGACTGGAATCCTCAAAGCTTAATCCTGAGCCTGAAGGGCTGAAAGCCCAAACCTATTCCTAGATCACCCTAAACCCTGAATCCTACCTGGGCCAGAGCTTGTTCCTATAGATCACCCAACTACCCATGGTGCGAGATAAAGAAGAGCCTGATGTTTTTGAGGGGAGGGCGTCGTCCCCCACGAAGATCCAGAAAGTAGCACGCACCCATAAACCCTATGAACCTTTATCCCGAAAGCCTAAACCCCTAAACCCGAGACCCGAAACGCTAAACCCCAGTTTATACCACTTCAGGGATCCCTCTCGTCGATTCTTCTCGAGCTTGGGGCCACAGGGAAACCGCAAGAAACGCCTGGGAAGCCACGGGTGCGGTCATCTGGGATCTCCCTTGGGTTTGTGCATGAAGGGTTGAGGTTTAGGGTTTAGAGTTTAGGGTTGGGGTTGAGGGTTTATTTATATATATATATATAGAGCGGGTTTAGGGTTGGGGTTGGGGTTTGGGGTTTAGGGTTAAGGCTGGCGGGGGTGACAGGGAAGCAGGTTGACGATGGCAACATTGAGGTTTCGGAGGAATTTTCCCCACTTCAGAGCCTGGTGGCCTGGCTTCTTCCTGGTTTTTGGTGCTATTCAATGCCAGCTAGACAGGACACTTGCGATGGCTACGGTCATTGAACCCAAGGCCCAAAAGCCCTCAGCCTTAATCCATGAGCTTTTTTGGGAGGCAAAAATATCCTTGAGTTTTTGGAGAATCTCAACCCCAATCCTCTAGCCTGGCACCCTGGTAGCGGCCCAAGCTTCAATTCACCTGTCATGTGCTCTTCTTGCATCGCAAGAGCGCCAACACAGCATTATCATGCAATGGGCTGTTGGTTCAGGATAGTGGCTGTTCCGGATCTGGGCGCCATGTCGTGGGAAACCGAGGGAGAGTCTACAGAGGCTGTGCCGAATTTTCTGGAAAAGCTTGACGAGTCTCAAAGGAATGAAGCAGTTGGCCGACTGCTCAAGCCTGAGAACGAGGACACCTGCAACGAGCTTCTGGGTCCTTATAGTCTTAACCTTCATCATATGCAGGATTTTATTGGAATATAAATTGCATTCCCACAGTGGTAAGTCAAATGCAGCTTCTTCGAACCCAGGCTTCTCCACAGATTTGCCTGCACACGTGGCGTCGCGCGGCAGGTGACTTTCAGATCTCTCACCGGGGAGGCCGTTGAGTTGACACCCCCGCCGAAGCACACTTTGCTGGATGCCAGGCAGGCTGTACTGGACAACGTGGCAAAGAAGATGCCACCTCTAGAGGTTGGCTACCACCGGGATGCGCGATTCTTTGCTGGAAGCGAGCTTCTCGTCGAAACGATGCTTGCGGCGATGCTGCCTCACGAGGTCTCTGTGGTTTTCGATCAAGTGAAGACCTACGGGCTTCCTTTCTTGCCGTCGGACGCCTACAACTGAGTGCCTTGCAGCTTGAGTTGTGACCTGCTGATTTGCTGCTGTGCCTCGATGCCGCATTGACCCCGCTGCCCTCAGTAGTGCTATGATATGGCACATCCCAGACCTACGCTTCCCTGACACTAAACAACGCCAGAAGAAACCAAAGCTACGGCGACTTGGAAGTTCGGGCTGTAACCTCCCGGTCCCCGGGTGCTTAAAGCATGGCTACTGCCGAACCACGACCCCTGTGACGTGTCTTAAATCGCAGAGTTTAATTTCACCGAATAAGAAACACGGTAAACCCTGAACAAAGCAGAGCTCTTGACTGAAAGCCCCCAGGCCCTGAACGACCCTCCTCGTCGAGCATCACACCCCTTCGCCCCGGAAGCCTTTTGAACAAGACTGAGCCCTAGATCTCGCCAGTAAATCACCCCGAAGCCCTCAACCTTGCAACAGCCCTGAAACTTGCAACCTCGCAACTTGAAGCTGACACAGCCCGCGAAACCAAGCTCAAAGCTCACACGAAAATGCCAGAGTCCGGAAGGTCTTAGCTGAAAGAGCATCAAAACCTGTATCCCAGACCCGCCCTCAACAATGCCAAGACCCGAAAGCCAAAAAGCCACAAGCAAATCCAAAATATGCCCAGGATAGTTGTCGTACTCCAAAGTCCAACCCCTAACCCTAACTAAAACCCTAGTCCTTACCCTAAACCTTACAACAGGCTAAACCTTAATTACTCGCAGCCTAAACCCTCAGTGTGCTAGACCCTTTTCACGCTAAACCCTAAATAGCCTATGCCCTCTTCAACGTAGTTAAACCCTTCTTACCCTAACCCCTAACGAAATACCTAGTTTTTATGGTTACCTTTTTTTCTAAACCCTACATGTAGCCTAAACCCTAAAAAGCCTAAACCCTAAACCCTTTTGCATTAATCCCTACACTGCCTAAACCCTCAGCCAAGTCCAGGACTTCCCTGGCAGACGGCTCGGTCCCTGAGCGATTGTCGGCGCTGCTCTTGGCGCAGGCCCGGCATTTCGTGTGAAAAGGAATTAGGGTTTAGGGTCTATAGGTTTAGGTTAAAAGGATGTAGGGTTTATAGGATTTAGGGCGGGGTTTAGGGTTGGGTGGGACAGGGATTTAGGTTTTCTGGGTAAAGAGGGTTAAGAGTTTAAGGTTCAATCCGCCCAGTTTAACAGCAGTACGGCCAGATACGAGACATCAGAGGTGGGAGCACTGCCGGTTCAAACCCGTTTCTCAATCATCAAACTTGATACTGAGAGTTATGTTTCGCCGTGGTGTTGCTGCGGATGGAATCTACCATCTCAATCAGCATATTGATCTTGATGCATCTAGATGATCTAGATTGCCATCCACTCATTAGTAATGAGCTATGAAACTCATGATGTTGTCGCTGTTCATTAGGTTTAATTAAACCCTAAACCCTAAACCCCTAAACCCCAGATCTTGCTAGGCTTGTCCGAGTGTGAGTGTCGAAAACCCTAAAACCTCACCGGAAGCTACGGAATGTTCAGGCCCTAGCGGTGGCTGAGGCGCCGCCAGCGGTCCTCGAGGCGTTGATCCTTTTGGGGTGCAAAATGAAGTAGGTTGAATTTTTGGCGGCTCGGGGGTATCGGGGTTGGGTTCAGGGTTTTGGGATGATGTTCAGTTCGGTTTGTTCAGGGGTTCAAGCTGATATAGGTTTAGGAAAGGCTGAACATGCAAGGGACTACGAGCGCCTCCCTATCAAGACGTGCCGTCCACACAAGTCGTTGCAGGCGGGCGAATTTCATGATCGGGAGAAGGGATGTTCGGCTATGCCATGACCCCCACAAGCCTCGGAAGGCTGTTCGGACCCTGCAGTATCCCGAAGCCGCCCACACCGTTTTGCTGTTTTCTTTCGTTTCTGTCGCTCAGGTGCTTGCCTCGGAGGCAGAGCGGTTTCTCGACCTGAAGGTGGGGGGTGTGATTGTCGTGATAGGGCTTGAGGTTGAAGGGGTAGTGCAAGTGCGACCTTATCAAAGGTTTCGGGTTGACGGTTTGGTTCGGGGTTCAGCCTAAAGCTCCGAACACGCTTGCACTTCGCTGTTGACATCGCTTGACATCCCCAGGTACTTGTACGTCCAGGTTTAATCTTCCATGGTGCTAGAGGAGCCCACTCCTCGGCCTAGACATATCCAAACCTTGAACAAACCCTTCACATGCATCCTTTCAGCCTTATGTAGTCACTTCACCCTATACCCCGCTCGATCTACACTCCATAAGCCGCTGAAACCATGTAATCGAAAAGCGCTGACCCCTAAACCCTTCCAGTCCTGAAATTTAAACCCACATTTGAGATGCTTGAGGATGTTTTATCCGAGCTTCAGAGAATTTGGGAGTATGGTGAAACCAGAAAAGTTGGAATATGGATTTCTGATGACTAAAGCTTGGACTGCATTTATTGCATGTGTACTTTACCTTCAAGGATAAGGATGTTTCAATTTTCTGGCTTCTATTTTTGGGTCTTCCGGGCAGTGTTTTTTCTCAGGGTCTTTGGTGGGTGGGGTGCGGCACACTGAGTTTTGTGACTCTTCATGAAGGACTACAGTGGAGAACGTCTTCCTCTAGTATAAGCAGTATATAGTATCATAGCCATGTAGGATCCTTGGTTTACCCACCTGCAATCTCGGAAATCGTCGATGTTTGCAGCACTCTCAAGTCTGCTTGGCGCCAGGACGGCAGCCATGGCTTCGCACAACTTGGTGAGGTGGGGCGGGTAGTCATAGGGTGTTGGCTACTTGCCTAGAACCTTAGGGCACTCATATCAGGCATCTACTTCTGCCCTAGCCTATATGCAGACCTATATAAAGCAAGATGACGTAGCTTCTACATACTGACCGATACTAGTTTCTAGCGGTGTCGCTTCGTTCTGAGCGAGTTCTGAATCCTGTGGCCGAGAGCCCCCCAGAGATTGCAAAAGAACCCTAAACCCCAAACCGTCTACAGTCATGATTAATTATCCTTTGCAGAAGAATCGAGATCCTCAGGTAGCGGCCTTAACTATGAGAATGGTGTGTTGGGGTCTAGTGTAGGCTTGATTACATAGGATTACACTCTGAACCTATGACAATATAGTATTGTACTTGTAATTTTGCGCTTTGCCAAGGCGGCCCTAGATGTTCTGGCCTCCGTGTCCTTCTCGCACCCCACCGCTGCGAGCTTCGGCGCAGAAAGGGCGGGGCCTCTGGTTCAGAGTAGCCGTGTTTGGGGTTTAGGACTCAGCTGCGTAGGTTAGAAGGAAGTATGTATCCTTGCATGTTCTTAGGCTGCGCCAGTATAACACCAGATACTACCTATACAACCCCAAAAGTTAACCTTTTGTTCCCGCAGGCCGTAGCAGGGATAAGCAAGGTGGAGTGGACTCAAACGTTGGGTTTAGACTTTTTTGGTTTGGGGTTGGCGGATCAGCTTTCTGAGGTTGTTTCGACTTTGCCCACGTCTGCCTACTGTAGAGAGGCTGCCGATTCCGGCCTTGTTGCATAGTCTGGAGGCGTTTGCTGAAGATTCTGGGTGTATCACGCAACTGTTTGTGCAGTTTCACTACATATATCTTCATATGGGAGATTCGGAAAATAAGGGCTACCGTATTTTGGGGTCCTTATAGTCAGGATCCTACTATTTTGGGTACTATAGTAGGGTCCCCCCCCCCATATAATCCTAGTCCTTTAACCCTAAGTCCCCTGGGTCCGTAGGCTGCTTGCCTCTCCCAGCCGGCCCTTTAGGATCGAGAATTTGGGCTGGAGCAAGATGGCAGAGACTTGGCTCTTGCTTATTGTAGGGGTTTAGGGTTTGGGGTTTAAGGTTTAGAGTTTAGGGTTTAGGGTTTAGCTGGGCTGTAGTATTAGAACAGAGTGTTTTGGTGTTGTGAAGGTTGAGTGAGTGTATCTTAGACTTCTAATTATGTTCGGGGCTGCGAGGGGACATTATTTTTACCGACTCCCATAAGGACCACAGACACAATGTAAGAGCTTGCGCTTGTAGGAATCTTTCCTTTTCCAGGTTGCAAAATACCCTGACCAAAGTTTCAAACAGTTCAGGTATCATGTCTGTGTGTGTGTGTGTGTCTGTGTGTGTCAGTGTCAGTGTCAGTGTCAGTGTCAGTGTCAGTGTCAGTGTGTGCGTGTGTCTGTGTTTGCGAATAACGACGACGACCACAACTGGGATCGCGAGGACGACTTCTGCCGCTGATACTAAGCTGATGTATCGTTGACGTAACTGTGTGGGCCGGTGGTAGTCGCGGCCGCGCGTCCGATGGATGCCTCCCCCATGTCCCAGTATGTTTTGCTCATGTTAGTGGGTAATTATGCTCCTGGTACTCCTGCAACCAGGTTTAGGTATCATGCCTTATATTAAATGCTGCAGTTACATTGTTTGTCTATACATCTACTATATACAGATGTATGTACGTATATGTGTGTATATATCTATATACATACATATATATATATAGAGAGAGAGAGAGAGCGCTCTCTACCATTTATGTTTGAATGTATTGGCATATATCACAATACATTAAAATACAAGAGATTATAGCATAATGTAATGTGATACAGTCTCTTCTATTCTACTCTATTCCATGCTGTTCTAACCAAGTCTGCAGGAAAATACTATGTCATATTCTACTAATGTATGTATGCAGATGCATACATGCATGCATGCATAAATACGTGCAGCCATGCATCCATAGATTTTTGCATCCATCCACCCCATGCATGTATAATACATATACATATATATACATACACACAGACATGTCCGGTTCTTTGTCCTTTATACTTGCATGTTCCTCTTGTAGCGGCTGAGCAGCGTTTGTTCAAAAGGTGCCTCCAAGAAAACTAGAACTGTGCGGACTTGCACGTCCAACCCCGAATGTCGCTTGTCCCCTCTAAGCTTTTCGGGGTTACGGTTTAGGGACTACAGGATGTAGGGTTGAGGGTTTACTGTCGGAGCCCAGCTGGCCTCAAAAGGACCTCGGGCTCACG